AGTAGGGAAAAATTGTTATAAATACATATTATTAATAACAGTTATGAGATCATATAATTGTGAATGTATACATGAAATTGATAAAATAAAATAAACTAAACTAAAAAATAAAAAAAAATAAAAGTGGATGTCCGTTTGCCAGCCCCACCTGCAAATGCCGCAGGTCAGACGTAAGATGGGGCTCCGAAGTTCCTTGGGATCTTGGCCCAAGGAATCTGAGGCCCCTTCAGGACTCCGGCCTTAAAGATGCCCAGACAGCGAAGGGAGAAACAGTGCAGAATGGCTGGCCGTATAAGGATGAGTGCAGAGCGCCCAGCGGCCTTTCCTTCACGGGCATCTCGAGTGGGCGCCTCTTCCCGTCATGGTCTCCCAGCTCCTTCCGGGCATCGGCTCCCCCTTGCCGGGCCCTTCCAGGTCCACCTTTGGATGGGGAGCAAATGGGGCTCTCCGAATGGGACTAATTGCCAGGCATCCATGGGACGGATCGGATCCCTGTTCATAAAACGCGGGTTTTTTCCGCAACAAAGGGAGGATTTATAGCATATGTTTCATCTGAGTTAATCCAGTGGCTGAATTAGCTCGCTCATTAACTGCTGGGCAGCTCATTAATTTCTCTTTGAACATTTCCTTTCTTTCAAGGTTTATGATGAACGTGACTTGGAAAGGCAGAGACTTATCCTTCACCACAGATGGCTACCAAGCCCAGCCGCGGCTCGTGGTCACCGTCCTCAATGAAAGCCGGGCCTGGGAGAAGGTAACCGGCGCCCCCTGTGGGAGGGCTGGGCCAGCAGGGAGAGGAGGGGGTTGCTTTGCAGAGCCAGCACTTCCGCTCGGGCAACCAGGGTCTGTGTGTGTGTGTGTGTGTGTGTGTGTTTGTGAGTGCAGCCGCCTTCAGAGTTTGCTTCTTTGGTCCAGGGCTTCCATTTCCCCTCCGTGGGGCCGTCGGTGGGGCAAATGCTTGGATTGAAAGGTGGAGTTATACCTAAAGCGTCCCTCTCCTTCTTGGGACCCTCCATTTGGACAGCCAAGGTGGGCCTGAAATGGACCCACGAGGGTCTCAGGGAGGAAAAGCTGCGGAATCTGGGATCCCACAGAGCTGTTGGGAGGCAGAGTCCGCAGTGCTGACCCAGGGAAAGTGAGCCTGGACCTCCAGCAAGCAGCCGTGCAGAGGACTCCTGAAGCCCCCTGGTTCAGTGGTGGCAGGTGGGCTTGGCCTGCAGCTTGGAGACCCTTGTTTCCAAAGAGCTCAGAGGGTGCAGAGCTACCCCTGCCTCCCACCTGGGAGAAATCTTGACTAATCAGACCAGGAGGGGCTGGATTGGTTTGGGGAGGCTAGCCCTAACCCCGAAAAAAAGAGCTTAAAAAAGGGGGTGCCGATTGATGCAGGCCTGTTTCCCTGCCTGGATGCAGCTGCAGAATCGGTTTGAATAGAAAGCCCGTAGATCTCACCCTAGAGGGGGAAAGCAGGCTCTCTCGAGGGTTCTTCGCCTTTCAATTTGCGTAGGACTGTCAAAGTTTTCAAACTGATTTTCGTGCATCTCTTCCACAGTCATCAAGCATAATTCATATTAACTCAAGTATTTTAACTCAGATGTATTTATACATGTTACCATCATCA